CTGGTTAGATCCTCTTTGTCTGGTTATTTTGGTACATGCCAACACAGTGCTATTCAGGGCTACCAGATCAGTTTGTTAAGTACATAACAGTGTGGTATATGACTAAATTTCCTGAGATTACATATGCACTTGACTTTCTGTGTACTCAAAATCTGCCTCAAGCCTGTGCCAGGTTTGCATTGCCATTGTTCTGCATTTCTCACTCGTGTTTCAAAAGGTTCTGGTTTCAGGTCTGCACATTTTCCCTCCACACAACCATTTTCCTTGCCCACCAGAGTGTTACTGGAAGGGGACAGCAACTCTTTGCCAACCAAGATGAAGTAAGGGGAAGAAATAGCCTCCAAAATCAAGGCTGTTGCCATGGAAACCAGAACCAGGATTCTCAAGGCCAAAATGGATGCATTTATAAATGAGAGATGAGGAAAATCCTACTCATTTATATGAATATATTAGGTGGAAAATGTCTTTCTCATAGGAAGTCAGATATTTACAGCTGCAGTGTAAAGCACTACATGGGTAATTTTTTTCTATCTTACAATATGATCTCATCAGCACCAATAGTACATGTGTTTGAGAGAAAGGCAGTAGTAGCCATAGAAACAGCCTGTTCTTCCTGAGTGCCATAAGGGATCGTGTGACACCCAGTTTTGGTGGTGGCCTCATGCTCCTGCCAGCTCTGGGGCCACTTTTGAGTCTGAGGGGGGTTTTGATGCACCTCAAGCCACTGGAACCAGTTTTATTCTGTGCAGCTCCACTGCTTGGCAGGTGCATTGGCTCTGAAAGGAGGTAGCTAGAGAAGGGGGATTCCTTCTGCAGGATGGGAATAAAAGATGGTTCCAGGGAAACTTGTATCAACAGTGGTGTTTATTTTCTTTCCTTTGTTGCTAGAAAGATTGTTGGTACAGCACTTGAGTAAAATCAGAGCCATTACACCCTGCACTCTTTCAGTATTTGTATGGATGTACAGGAGAACAGCTAACCTGCCTGAGGCCACAGAGCAAGACAAGGACAGACATTGGGGGCAAAAAAAAAGGTCTCGTTCATTTTTCACTCCCAATCATTTGCACAGAGCATTTCACCACGACACCTTCTTTCTCCCCCCGACCCTGAATCTCCTCTTTCCCACACCAGCTGCCAGCAGAGAGCCCAACCTAAAGGCCTGGCAGAGCTTGTTCAACTCTGATGTGTGACATACTTCCTGCTTAGTTCTGGAAATCACTGCTTTAAACTGCAACCTGAGCCCCGTCTGGGGACACAGGCTCTGAGTCACCTCTAGCAGCAGATGACTTACAGGCAGCCCTTCAAAGCTGTCACAGCTCTCTGTTATGATCTTCATCTCACTGGTACCTTCCCCAGGATAAAAGCACAAGGTTATCCTCCTGCTTGTTTGTAATGCATAATTGGGCCCAAGCTGTAAAGAGCCTGTCTGACCTTTAAGACAGCTCATTATACTGTGAAGAATAGTTGGATTTGCACTTTAAGACTCTTTGTTGTTAATGATGGTTTCACTCTTATGTGATAAAGTACAGCTTGAAAACAGAAAATAAAGAGAAAGCTGCTAGGTTCTGCTCTGGAGAGTCTCTGTGAGAGACACATCTGCCATACATGGGATAAAAACAGAGATGGAAGCAATTTACTGCCCTAACTTCTTCCCACAGTTTATGGCTCCAGTAGGCAGCACAGCTGGATCACATAGGGAGCTGCTGGATCACCCAGAAAGCTGCTGGATCACACAGAAGGCTGCTCCAGAAGCAGACTTTTACAGACCAAAGGTTTGAAAAAAAAAAAGCAAAAGCCCTGTAACTGATTGGAGTAAATTGGAGATGCTGAAATATAGAGGGAAGTGACTGCTTACTATATATAGTGTATAGACATATATATATACAGCTCAGGGAAAGGCATGAGGCAGGAACAGCTTCCTCTCACACTTTAATCTGGTGTCTCATCTTTTACCAGCTCCTCTTGGAGCAGAGATCCCAACACTGAGCAGTCAGCAACAACTGGATTCTCCCACAATCTGCACTGGTTTGGCAAGTGTTGCTTTGGGAATAGTCACCCTATGGTAGGTACTTGTTTCCTCAGTGAGAGGTAAGTAAAAGGCTTTGGACTCCATTAGACACATTCTACACTGGACAGAAATATGGGAAGCAGTCAAAAAGATGAGCTCTGGTGAAAAATAAACTGTACTGCACAAAAAGAGAATGAATAGATAAAATCCAGGCCAGGCTTTAGGGAAGAAGCTGTGACAAGGGAAAAGAAGCTGCACAGAACAATTAAAGCAATGCAATGTTACTTGCACAAACACCTGAAATTGCAAGAATTTTATTAGCTTACTTAATGGCTCTTAAAATCACACAAGCCCTGATCATGTGTCCATCACCTATTTCCAAAACCTCAAGAGTTTTCCATACAACAGACAACAAAACACTGGTTTCTTGTTACATGGTGGGTGTAAATACAGTACACTGCCAAGAAACACAGCTGTCCTG